TGAAAGCTCTAAAAGGTTCCCCATTACTTGTGTATAGCTTTAATTAGAAGAGTATTGGGGTTGGGGTCTGCCGAGATCAAACCCAGAGCCTTGTGTATGCTAAGCTGCCTCTACCACTGAGCTGTACCCTCAGTGCTAGTTTAATTTTTAAAAACGTTTTATTAAATTTTATTGTCTCATTTACTTCTTTGCTAAGACCTTGCATGTACATAGTATATCCCACTTATTCATTATTTTGTTTTATTTAAGAATTAGCAATCATTTTGCACCATTTTTCTTACAAATAAGAGAAACCTATCCTGAAAAAAAAATGTGTTAAGCCAGTAACTCAAGAAGTAATTAGTTACTTCATTATGCCTTCATTTTTTGGACTTAGCAGTTATTTTTTATTAAATAAATATGCTGCTTGTTCTCTTGTAATATGGACTTATGACATTATAGTTCCTTTTTCATGAATTAAAATTTTACTAAAAATCTACTTATATAACTAAGTATAATTAAAAATAATACTTTTTTGGGGGTGTAGTTAGTCATGTCACTATCTAGGTAATCCCTTTTATTACTCCAAAGAAGTTGTTGATATGGGTCTACACATACGTGTTTGTGTGATTGTTATACATACATGTCCTTATATTCTTGATAGCTAAAGTCTGTGGTCCTGAAAATTTCTACCACTAGTGGTGAGAAGTTAATTACTTTTTAGTTTATTAACTATGAATACATTGTTAGCAACAGAAAACCTAATAGTAGTTGAAATATATTGGAATTTATTTTTTGTCACATGAAATTTAGTCCAAGGGCTGTTAAGTTCAAAGTTGACACCATGTTCTAAGGATGTTGAAAGACTGCAGTTCTTCCTACCTTCCTGCTGTGGTATGTGGCTTTCTTCCTTAGGGTAATAAAGTCATTCCAGGCCTCACATAGTCATTCCAGGCAGAAGAAAGAGAGAGGTACTTGTATTAGGAAAATAAAAGGTTATTCAGAAATCTAATTGAGGTACAGTGTGCAAAAGGAGATGAGAAGTCATTTTTTATAAGTGGGATCCTCTGACATTTTAAACAGGTTCAGTTAGCAAAAGAGGAAATAAGTATTGAGTGGGGGCTTTGAAGTGCCTGTCACATCCCGTGTTGACCCTTATTTCTATTCAGATTTATTTTTGTTTGAGACAGGGTCTCCTTATGTAGTTCAGGCTGGCCTTGAACTTACTAAGTAGCCCAGTCTAGCCTCAGACTCACAGAGATCCTCTTGCCTCAGCCCCCTGAGTGCTGGGATTACAGATCTGCAGCACCACACCTAGCCTCCAATCAGATTCAATGGATAATTATTTGCTGCATTATAAGAACAGCAGCCAGCTATTTAAAGATTGACTCATACTCTTTCCTCAATTGAAGAACATCACTTACTCCATCAGTGGTAACATTGCAGAACTTTCTACAGTCCTTAACTGTGGCCCAGGCCTTTCTGTCTACAGGGTAGTTCCGCTTGGAAATGTGCTGATAGTCCAAGTACAGTTAGGTTCAAAACTAATAGAGTGTTGGTCTTTGATTTGCTTACTTCAGTCAGGGTCATCAGCATTTTCCCAAGCTAGAAATTTAGAATGATCCTAACTTTTAATATTCCTGTATCCTTGGTCCAGTTTGCCATCTGTTGCTATTCCTAGCGTTGAAGTGTCTTAGATTTGACCTCACCCCCAGTATGGTCACTACTGTGACCTAGACTCTGACCCACCTCTTATGTGCTTTACTGATAAGGTTTTCTCCAGTTCTATTCTTCCTCTTTTTAGTCATCATCAGTAACAGTCAACATTATCCCCTACACTAGGCCTGGAAAATCAAGTGCAGAGCCTTGCACATTCTAGATAAGTGATTCACCACTGAGCTTTGTCACCAGCTCAAATCCTCTTGAAATCTAGCTTTCTAAACATTTCATCCTTACTCAGAAGTTTATAAACCAAATCCAAATTGCTTTCGTCTGTCATTTTTATAACAAGAATTTTTTTAATCAATTTTTTTTTCATTGTCAGAATATTCTCCTCAGTTCCCCGTTTCCTTTTTACAACTAGTAACAGATGCACGCTACAGATTCCTGTCCAAGGGACCCTCTCTTCTCTAGCTGTGACTCTTGGTCCTCCTCTAGCCTGTTTGTACTTCATCATTCCAAATCCTAGTTTTCAGGGCCTACACTGCTTTTTTTTAAAACATTCTTGATAATTCCTCTTTCTCACTGTTGGCATATATACTTCTGTCTTCTTTATTTATTAGTATTGTACACAAATGGTTCCGTTTCTTTAAATCTGTTTTTGGAAGAGTTCGTCAGTTTGCCTTTCTGCTTATTCATGTGTCTTTCATCTAGAGCTGTGTTGTTTTTGTGTAGAATAAACATAACTACATCTTTTTTATCACATATATCTGATTCATTCTTATTATTTGTGGTTCTTGTTTCATATTGATAATGTCTGTTGTTTGTTATGCTTATTTTCAAGTTCTTAGTCTGTTTTAGTAATATGCTTTTAAAATTGGTATTATGTTGCCTTGTTTGCTGATTTTTGTGTATTTATATGCCTATATATTTTCATGCCTATTCTAAATTATATCTTAAAGGCATATGGAGTCATGAAATTTACTTTGGGTCAGACAGGTGTGGGTTTAAGCCTTGATTTGGCTACTTACTAACTTTTTGACCTTAAGTAAATTAACCTTTCTATGCTATAATATCATCTATAATTTTTTTTTGGTGGTATTGGGGATTGAACCCAGGGGCACTCTACCACTGAGCTACATCCCCAGCCTCCCCCTGCCTTCATTTAAAATGTTTTTATATTTTAAGACAGTCTTGTTAGGTTGCCCAGGCGGGACTTGAACTTTCAATCCTTTTGCTTCAGCCTCCTAAAGTGCTGAGATTACAGGTGTACACCATGGTGCACTACTCTATCAATTTTAAATGTTTGTGTGCTTATGTGCACATTCACACATACACCTTTTTATGAGAGTTCAACAAGGCAATATTTGATAATGTATAGTAGCACTTAGGTTCAGTGCACAAACTCAGAAACTCCCCCTGATAGTGTCTTAAAGTTGAAGTTTATTTTTTTCTTACATATAAGAAGTCTAGAAGTAAATAGTCCAAGCTACTTTGGAAACCTCATGTTCTTCTGGAACCCAAATTTTCTTTTTTGCCACGCTAGTGCATGATTTCTCTGTCAAGGTGGAGATTGCCACATACTGTAAAGTGGGTACTGGAGCTTCTGCAGCCATGGCTGTATTCCATATAGTGCAGGAAAGAAGAGGATAAGGGAAAAGGGCCTGCCTTCTGGGCCATTTGCTTTCTTTAGCTTTTCTGGAAGTATCTCATAACTCCTCTTGCTTATAGTCTCATTGGCCAACACTTAGTCACATGACCATACTTTGCTAAGAGGAGGCTGGGAAATTTATTCTATTAGTTGGGTATATTACTGCACAAAGTAAAATTAGTGTTTTTTCTTAGTAGAAGGGGAGGATAATAAATATTGATTAACTACTGGCAGGTAGAGTTTGGTGCCTGCACATGGTAGGGCCTAACAAAAACATCTTTCTGTCTGTCTTCTTCCTGTTGAATTACAGTCAGTATAGCTCATAATTCTTCTTTGGTTCATCTGGATCTTGTTTTTCTAGCTGTGGTAAAGTTTTTTTGGGAGAAGGTATCATACTTCTTATTTGTGCTTTAATACACCTGGCATATAGTGCCTGATAGTTGGACTACACAACAAGAATGTAGTTGGTATTTTTTAATTAATTGATTTTATTTTCCACTAAATCATACTTATTTCAACCTCTCATTGAATTCCTGCTCCCCCAACCCCTGTTGGTATTTAATATTTTTCCTTTCAGCTGCAAGCTAGGAGCAGTTGTGAGGATATACTGAAGATTTTCATTCTTTTGATTTCCTGTTTTCTTATGCTTTTAAAAATGCCTTGTGGAATGATAATGTAACATTTTATAATTTTTAGATTAGTGTATTTAAAATATTTTTGTCTTCACTTAGTGCTTCAGAATAAATTCCCCAAATTGAACCTAGAGAGCAATACATACAGGTATATTCAGTATATTTATTACACAGATACAGATTTTTTATAAGCCTGTTCATTATAAATATATATAATATGAAGTTTTAAAAATACCATGTTTGAAAAAACCTCAGGAAATGATTTTCTATGCATATTTAATTCATTAGCTTTGTTTTATAAGGAAGCTCAATAGTTTGAAGAAATGCTTAGGTCACATTTGTCAAGTTGTCCTGTCTCCCTGTCCCCCCCATAACTGTGGAAGAAAACGGGAATAAGTACAACATAAATTTGGCATTAAGATAAAGAAATAGTAATATAACTGGAAATTCCTTTCCCATCTGCTTGGCAAGACTTTATATCAAAATAGTTTTCTATAGTGTCAGGGTATCTTGGGGTAAAAGAGTTTATATGTGTTCTTTTTAATTCTACTTCGGAATTCACTAAATACAATACCTTAAACATTCTTTATGCTTCTGTCAGATTTACCCCTTTACAGATATACAATTACATTAGTACATAAGTATGCAAATAGAAAGTAATTTCATAACTTATCACCAGTATGCTAAATATTCATATACTCAGACGTGCATATGTCTTACATAAACACAGATATAAAGGGATAAAGATACACTGCTACATACTATTCTTGGAATGCAAGACATACATGAATAAAGTTAAAGTTCCATCATTCAGTTATGTATACTCAAAAAGAGTAGGTAAGTGGACATATGTGAAAAGGTTATTTGACTTGATATTTAGGCATAATGTTAAATGCATGGGACCTAGAGACCTTGTCAGCAAAGTAACCACAGAGTCTCAATGAGAATAGTGTTAATATTAGTTAAAAAAATCATAATAACTTCATGGTACTTTTTTACTGGTTACAAATAACATAGAACCATTTATAAAAAATTGATATTTTCTTATCATTTGACTTTATTCGGTTTTGTTCTCATAGATGTTTTCTCGCAGATGTCAGATTCCAATGGCTTAATGATATTTAGCAAGTTTGACCAGTTCCTGAAGGAAGTTCTGAAGCTCCCAACAGCTGTCTTTGAAGGGCCATCTTTTGGTTACACAGAGCATTCAGTCCGCACCTGTTTTCCACAGCAGGTAAGGACAGTTTGATAGACTCCAGCACTAGAAGAGTCTCATTTATCTCCCTACCTTCTGACAGATTTCACCAGATCACTTCCAATCTAGGATGCAAAGTTTTGAGCAGGAGAGAAAAAACAGCTTTGAGGAGGGTGCGGATGGGTAGAGAAAAAGTGAGGGAGAATAAAAATTCACCTGAGAACTCTTGTTAGGGGAACGGGGCTGCTTTTTCTAATAAAAAAAAGATATTATTGCTTATTGCTACTGGGCATATATTACTTTACCAAGTAAGTCTTGAAACTGTGAGATACAGGAATTTTGACATAAAACTTTAGCAATATTGGATCAGTCTTTCCTAAGCACCAGAGACACAGAATGCTGTACAGCTCTCAACTGCTGGCATAAAATCCCTCAGGTTGTGCTGCCACTTTTGTGGCAGAAGACGGGTTTGATTTCCTTTTGTGGTCTTCATGTGTACTGAAATCTTAATAGACTCTAAATATACCGTGTATTTGCTAAGGTAGAGATTAGGTCAGAGAAGCTTAAGCTATACTTAGAAAGTTCTGCAAAGTGGGAAATTAAGAAAAAAAAAAAAATCTGTGTTAAAATTAATGGAAATAGGATTTTGGCATAGTCTGAAAGAATCTTCCCAGAAAATATTTATTAGTCACCAAAGAAAATAGTAACTTTACAGTTGGGGAAACCTATTTGACTGTACATTAGCACCAGTAAAGAGATAAACTGATACCTGGATGCACTGAGAAATACAGTATCCTTTCTCTGGTCCTGCTGCCAAATGAACACAGCCTGAATCTAATCTTGGGGGCCATCAGACAAACCCAGATGAAGGGATTTGTATACTATAACTGGATTGTACACTTAAAAAATGTCACTATGAAACACACAGATGGTGACTGAGGAAATGTTCACATTAAAGGAGTACAAAGTGATGTGAAAACTGAATGCAGTGTATCATCCACAGTTTTGTTATTAAGGACACAATTGAGACAAATGGAAAAATTTGAACAAAATTTATAGCTAAATAAGAGTATATAGTATTCTGTCAGTGAATGTTAATGTCTTGATTTTGATATTTATGTTTAGTTATGACAGAGAATGTCTTGGTTTTTAAGAAATTTAGTCTTTAAGGGTAAATGTACTTTCTCCTGTAGTGTTATTTTTTTTTATTTTTATTTTTTTCCTGTACCGGGAATCGAACTCACGACCTTGCACTTGCCAGGCAGGCACTGTGCTGCTGAGCTAAATCCCCAGCCTCTCTCCTGTAGCATTAACCCAAGAATCTGGATTATCAGAAAATGGAAATTGTTTGGTAATCTTTTCCAGTGTTTCTCTAAGTCTGAATTTCTGTAAAAATAAAACATTAAAACATTCAAAGAACAAATCTAAAAACCTGTGATACTTTGGTTCAAAACCATGTGAGTAACATGCACATCCACCTTTTTACATTAAGATTAAGAATTCATATTTATCTGAGCTCAGACTTTAATAGTTTACAGTTTGTTTAGATCACTTAGCTTTTGCACTGAAGGTGGCACCCATAAGAAAAGAAACTTTTTTTAAACAGAGGAACTTCTGAGATGTTCTTTTCAAAATTGTACACACTTTAGCTGATTGGTTTTATGCAAATTTGCATCAGTCCACTATTTTTTCTCATACTTCTTAGCATAAATGATAGTATCAACTTTCAGCATATTAAAAATATCTCTGTCCTTCATTTTATTCTAATAAAGCCTAGCTTGCAGTTTCCCCAAGTATGTGTTTTCAAAAATAAGGCTTCCAGACTTACCCTGTGTATTCAAAAATAAGGCTTCCAGACTTACCCTGGTACAGGGATGTTACAGTTCCCTTCAGTGATGTGAGTGAGGATCAGCTTGACAAATGAACCTCAGCTGGCTGTTCTGCTCATTTTGCTGCTGCTCCTCGTATAGTGGTATCAGTAACCCAGACAGTTGCCACACAGCACCTTGGGGTGACCTGATAGATGATATATACATGGCTCTTCACACAAGACACTTCCTGGAGGCCAGGCTGGATGTTGTCAATCTTGGGATGCTGCTTTTGAGTCAGAAAGTGTCCAGACAGAGAAAGGAGTCCATGGGAAGTATCAGTGAAGAATAGCATCTGACAAGTGGGTGACAGGTTGTTTTTTTTTTTTTTTTTTGTGGTACCAGGGATTGAACTCAAGACCTTGCGCTTACAAAGCAAGCGCTTATGCCAATGAGCTATATCCCCAGCCCTGTGGGTGACAGTTTTGAAGGTACTAAACCTAAAGTTATCTTTGATTTAATGGGAATCTGAGAAATGTGGTAAGAATTTAGTGCTGGAATAACAATTTAAAATACTGAAGACATTTTAAAAATTATAACAGTTAATTCTAAGACCCCCATGTAGGAATTTTTTTATTTTTGGTAGCATTGGGAATGAAGCCAGGACCTTAAACATGCTGTCCAAGGATTCTACCGCTGGTCTACACAGCTTCAGGGTCCTCTAGAATTCTTCAGGTTCCTTTATGGCATACATGATTGCCAGGATTTTCAACTCACAACCCAGTTGTTGTTGCTTTTTGCCTACTTTAGATTTCTGTTAAAAGAAAAAAATCAGTCTGCATTTTGAAATATGTCAGATTTAGAAAAGTTTGAGAAGTTCTTCTAAGTCTAGAGAAACTTGAGTTTTCTTCAGTTCTTAAAGACGATTAAAGAAGGAAGCCTCAGAAGAAATAGAAACTACTGATGCAATGACCAAAAGAGCAAGGAGGGAGGGAGAAGGAGGAGAGAGACTGTTTGGACAGCATTCCTAAACGTAATGGGCTTTGGGTTTCTCTTGGAAAACGCCTCTGCCCCCTTGCACTGTTGGTTCCTTACAGCATGTTTCTTTAATGCGTCTTCTGGCTCATCTACCATTAGACAGCACCGCACCAAAGCAAAATGGAAATCACACTGTTGGTTCTTAGGCAGTTTTCCTCATCATATTAATGTTCTGGGTGAACAAAGACTCTTGGATGATCACAATTAAATAGAAAGTATGAATATCTTAAGAAACAACCAGAAGTCCTGGGGTACCTTCCTTTAGTGAAAGAAGTGACTGGTCCATTTTCTACAGCATCTCTACTGTGATGATGAGTCTATAGCTGTGGGTAAAAAAATCTGTGAAGACATCTGCCTCCATGCTAAAATAGTTGATTAATGGAATTAGCTATCTCCTGGGTGGGATTATTAGTTTTGATAAAACTGCTTTGTGTTGAAAGTTGCGTTGCCCTTATCACAAAGAGGGAAACAAGTGTCAGTATTTAAGGCTGCAGGATATCATCTGGCAGTGGCTCTTAGAAGTGTCTGTGGAGATTTAATTATGCTGTTAACAGTAGGTTACTGTTTTTGTTTGGTCTGTTAACAGAGCTGCGTAAGTTTTTAGTGGTTGTTCCAAACCTGTTTTCCTCATGTAACTTGTTTTTAAATTCATAGTTTTGCAATATGTATAGCTCTCAATTAATATATGTGCTGCAGTACCTCAGAAATGCTTTTTAAAAAATGATATGAAGAGAATTACTGTACTTTGGTTTATTCCTGTATTGCTTTAATTCTTTTTCATAATTTACCCAAAATAAGTCTGTGGATGTATATGATTTAGTGTTATGGGTACATCTTACGTGACTGCAGTGTTTTTCCTGCATTATTTCCTACCAGAGCATAAGTAGATAAAACCATTAGAGGCACATGTGTGGCTTTACAGGTGATACTGGCTCCTGGATACTCCTGATTCTGATATTATCATAAGATAAATGAGGACCATTCTAGCCAGAATAAAGTCCTGTCTGTCCCTACCCATAAATACACCCTTCTTTCTAACCCAAAGTGTAGTGACCCATCTGTTCTTGCTGCTCAGGTCTATCCTTCTGTAGTAATTCCCCCAGTAAATTGTACTATATGCAATCCTGGATCTGTCTGCCTCTTTTCCTTTGGTCTCACACCAGCACCTTGGGGTTGGTACGCATGCACTAGAACTGAGTTGTTCTAGAACATTAGTAGTTTTAAAAAATAAGAAAAATTAAAAATATTTAACTCAACAGAACTATCTATTAAAATATGTACAATTCAGCAGCTGACACCAAATGTGGGTGAAGATTTAGAGTAGCTACAATTCTCACACAAATCACTTTGGAAGAAACCCTGGTGGTTTCTTACAAATCTAAAGAAAACTTACCTGTGACTTACCTGTTTTAGTCCCTTCCTTCTTCCCTCACCTCGCTTTCTCTTTCTTATTCCTTCTTTGTACTGGGGATCGAATTGAATAAATCTGGTATTTACTTCAAAATGATGGCAGTTGGAGCTAGGAGTAATGATGAGCCCTTGTAATCCCAGCACTTTGGGAGGCTGGGCAGGAGGATCACAAGTTCAAACTCACTCTGAGCAACTTAGACCCTGTTTCAAAATAAAAAAAATTTTAAAAATGCTATAGTGTAGCTCAGTGCTAAGGCATTGGATTCAATCTTCAGTATCTTCCTACTCCTCAGAAAAGTAGTTGGAGAGAGCTTAAAAGCACAAATGAAATAAAATCAGTCATGTTGAGAATTTTTGCAGTTAGAGGATGTTATACTACTATCTCTACTTTGGTATATTTTAAATTTTTTAATAACTGAAAAATTCTGGTTGTAAATTGTGATATGGCTGTCTGAACATACATACATGTTAATAAAACACTCGAAGCCTAGCATAATATTTTGGTGAGTATACTGAGTATATTATTTGTCAGAGTTTATAAAGTAAGAAACTCACTTTAGAGGTTTAAAGATTAGTAAAAATAAGCAGTAAATATATTTAAATTTCTCTTATTTTTCTCCAAACTTCAGAGTTTTGGGTAAGGGTTATGTTTTTCCTTGGAAGATGATTTCCTGAACGTTTTATTACTTGTTTTCTAAGTATTTGTATTTAATTTAGTTTGAATAGTCTAGCCTACTCTGCAGGGGATTTTAGATCCATTGTGTCTGGGTGAAAGGGAGGTCT